AACAAGTAAAACTAGAGCTTCAACATGTGTAACTTAATATTCTAATCAGATGCGTTTCAATAAAAGGCACCCCTGAAGGCCTTGTAGAACTAAGACTGAACCGTGTCTCCTGAGCTTTTTATAGCGTTTCTACAATGTCTTGCAAAAGTTTCTGGCAAATACAGAGGCAATGAAGGTCATGTTGTGCGGCGACGGTAGCGCAAATCTTTAGCCCGGAAGTTTTATTCAGAAAAAGGCGTGTTTTTTAATGTCAAATAAAAAAGGCAAAAAAGGGAGCGGTGTAGACGCTGGGTGAGCCATTGCCCAGGGTCGCTGGTGGTCACATACCTCTTGGTACCCGATATCTCGCTTATAATACCATAAGTGAGGGGACGTACCATTATTGGTGAAGCACTAACGTTTAAATTTATGAACTAGAGCCTGAGGAAACGGTTGAGTCCCACGAGAAAAGATATAAAAAAAGCTGACACTTATGAGTGGGAAGTTACATCGTTTATGACCCCGGTTTGATGATTGACAGGTCACAGAACAATTATGGGGGCTATCTCCCCTTATCCACAATTTAAAGTAAGTCACACAGACTATCTCCACTTTGTGTGGAGCAGCAAGTTCAGCTGACAGAACAAAGTGAAAAACAAACAATGGCATAAAATATTATTAATATGTCGGGTAGTAATAGATTTATTTATTTTCTTCTCAGAGTGTACCAGAATGCATAGTTTATATGTTAGTATTTCAAAAAATCTCCTGGGGGAGAATCCCCCACGACCCCCTCCCTGGGGGTGGGTTTTCAGCATGTTATACAGTTCAGCTTTGATTCCATCATCTCATTAAACCTTATTTAAAAGCATACTTTTGTTCTGTGAAGGGATATAATGGATATTATGCACTGTACTTCACTTTCATTAATATTGCAGACTGAAAAGCGTATATATATATATATTACAGCACACTCTCAAATGGAAATATGTGTTTACATAAATGGTGACCACACCGTTTGAGACCCACTGAGAACTTAGACTAAGTTAACTATCTAAACACTCAGAGAGTCCTTTACCTCACCTGAGCTGAGGTTATCCGAGCTTGAATGACACAGAGACCAATCAAGGGCTTTGATTTATGATCTGTATGACAGAGGCCATGTCGGCAGGCCACATCATGTTGACAGCCAGTCACCCTGTGTGAGACAGGCCACTTAACAGGCCAGAAGGAGGCGAGATCAGAGCAAGGGACCGAAGGATCATTGTCCACAAGTTAATCGATCGCAGAGGGCATCGTGGTCACGGACGAATAAAAAAAAAATTATAAAAAGAAAAAACCTAAATGGGTCGCGAAATATACTTGGGCGGCCATTAATATACCTGGGTGGCCCGCCCAAGTATAGTCTATGTGTGGGAAACCCTGGGTTCAAAATTTCGGGTCACGATTTATTGACAAAGGAAAAAGTGGATCCCGAGACCTGACCAGTTGAGAACCACTGCTCTGTACTATATACAACCGTGTTCTATCAAAGGTTAGAGAGATGCATGTTTCATGTGCTGATCACATGTGTAATGACACTACTGGCAATTTGTACCTTACGTGTACAAATTGAGAGCCACTTAGTTAAACACAGAGGTAAAACTCAACTCAAGGTGAGATTTTTGTATGAAAAATACAATATATATGGAGAGTTTGCCAACAGTTGAGATTGAGATTTTAAGAGAGAAAGGGTGGAGAGTTTACCGTAGGATGTAGGTGAGAAGCAGCATCTGCAGGACTAAGAAAGGGTAGGCGAAGCTCTCCCTCAGGGGCGGAGTCCACATCACACGAGTGCTCTGACACACATCACAGAGGATAGAATTACTCAGAAATAATTATTCCAAAAAGTTAAGTTAAGATAGTTTTCACAAGCAATGTCTTCCTCTGCAGCTTCGACATATCAACAGTTATAATAAACCTGTATTTGTCATGTAAAACAATGCTTGTATCCACAACAGCATCTGGGCGTTGTGCTCTCTGGTGTCTGAGTGGAATGTTTATTTGCCACACTTCTCTAATGAAACTACACAACATCACATTTTCCCGGTTTTGATTTATATACCAATAACTTAACCCCATAAACTTTAATGGTTGGAACCAGGACCTTCAGTATTTAGATCAAGTGGCTTGTGAATAATTAGTGCCACATTTACAAGTGTTGTTACACATGCTGTTATTTTAATGTGCCAGATGTATTTCAAACCAACATTTGCATATCTCCTGCTGCAATGTATACAAGCGGTCTAACTGTACCGAGCAGCGTTGGCACACAACGGTTTCTATTTTCTCATTTTTTAAGTTGTCGGGACTTCCCAATGGTTCTGTTCCCTGCCAGACACTCAGTCTGAATAGTTTATAAAGAGGGAACCTGTGGCTATAGTTTGATAGAATCACCATTTAATACACATTTATACAAACTTTACACGACAAACTCACATTTGTGTCACCTCAGAACATACAGCTTCATTACCAATGCTGATGTAATTCCCACCAGACTCAAAAAGAGAAAACTGGCAATAGGAGAACATTTTACAAGAGTAAGGTTGGAATTAACCATTATTTTCTTTATCGTCTAATACATTTATTTTTTTAGTCCATAGAATCGTTTGAATATCACATAAAACATAAATTAGAATAGAATGAGAGGGATGAAACCCTCTGTATAGAACACTGTAGTTTCCATAGTTTCCCCACAGCAGCAGACGCACACAATGACGTCCGCTGGCGCATCATAAACACGTCAGATAGTGAAAGTGCATTCGGATTCTCTAAAGTACCGCAGTCTCTTCTCCTAAATCCTTTTGAATTCTCCTATCCACTATCCCTTGACCCCGTGACGTTTCACTCAGAGGTCAAGGAATAGGAGATAGGGTTAGAACTTAGGAGCTGATTTTTGGATTATCGGAACGCAACCTAGCACTAGGAGCAGTGGGCAGCTATTGTACAGCACCCGGGGAGCAATGGGAGTGGGGGGGAAGGGGGTTGTCTGGTGCCTTGCTCAAGGGAACCACAGCAGGGCAGGAGGTGAACTGGGACCTCTCCAAGTAGCAGTCCACACTCCATATTTTAGGTCTGGTCGGGGACTTGAACCGGCGACCCTATAGCTAGTCAGTCCAAGGCAAGCCCCTGCTGACTGAGCCACTGCCGGACACCTTGTTATTAGGTTGAATTACATTAAAAAGGAGCATTAAAGAAAGAATAGATGCAACAATGGTTAAACACCTGCGTTATGCATTTGTAACCAGTATGTAAAGACTAAAACAAATGTGTCCATCTACACTCATAACTGTAGGCTGGTGTATTAAAAGGAAATAATATTATTATTGTTGACTTGTAGGTTATTGCTCACTTAGAAATGTCAATGTATCGGCATATAACTACATCAAAGTATGTTACAAATAATTTAATACATTTTTATATGCCACAGTCTAAATAAGGTTTTAAAAGCACGTTGTTGTGTTTGTGCTTGCTATGTGTACTACAATCATTTAAAGACATTTTGAAACAAATAAGATGCTACAAAGTAATAATAGTGACCTGTCTAAGAAATTGATGGTGATTTAAGATCATTAAACATATTTAAACTGTCTGTTTGCAGCCAAAATCCGGTCTGTTCCTGGAGTACCAGATGAAGAGGGCCAACTTGGAGCGGATCGTCACCCAGAACATCCTGTCAGTCATCGGGGAGTGTGTGGACCAGTTTGGACCCGGGTGTGTGGGGGTGCAGAAGATACTAAATGCACGCTGTCCCCTGGTCCGTTTCGTCCACCAGCCCTCTGGCTTTCAGTGTGACCTCACAGCCAACAACAGGTACTCACCCTGTGCACCTTTACTAGGAGATAACCTGTTTTCCATACATAAACACTATGAAACAATTGTTCGTCATGGCTCTGGGGTTGCAGTGGTTCATTTAAAATGATTCGGTTTCACACTACTATTGGTCATATCTTGAAAGGTCAATTATACTTGTTCATAGTCATAGGCCTCTTGCTTCACAGAAACTGCTATTTCGTTGTCGTCCTGATATTGATTTGGCAATACTGACCAAACAGAAACCTGTGTGGCAGGAAGTGCTGTGGGGGTACAGTTGCACCCCTACCGGAGTGAAACTGAACATGAAGCTTAAAAGGGGGGCTTGTTTGTGTTTCACTTCCTCCCTTCCTACCAATGATAACACAAACACCTACACACCTGCTAACATACAGAAAAACTGCTCTGCAGTTTCTAAGGAAATGGAGGGGAACCATCAGAGGTGGTGGGTGGATGTGAGGGGGACTTTTCTTATATTGTGCTGGTAGATCTTTCAAGCGCAGCTCTTTCCTGCCTGAGGTTTCTGTGTGCGCGTGTGAAGGGAAACCAACAGCAGTGTGACTGACGCAGCCACTATGACAATCTGAAGGCTGCTCCCTAGTGGTGCTTTTCATATGATTTCATTTTCACTGACCCTTGACATTAAACAGTATTTTATCTCATGAACTTGGGAGGTAGAAATGGAATACAAATATATGCTAAATATGTGGACAAATACTGGGACCTAATGTCATGAAGATAAGGATTGTACTGGCATTAAGAGGTTCATACTGATGCTTTCCTAGAAAACGACTGAAAAAAAAATGGTGCTATGTAAAAATATTGGTTAAGAGCATTACAATTATCATCATAAGGATTGACATCCTGAAACACATAATTATCTGTAATAACCCATTGACAAATCCACTGGTTTAATAGCAATACAATCAGCCAAAAGGTCAGTCATATATACAGTATATTACAAAATTCTGCACGATATTGTTTATTTCTGCAATTTATTCCCTATTTAATATACTTAATTTGTTGGTTATTGACAGCATGTCCTATTTTGATCAGCAAGACGCTGACCTTCAATCCAAATACAACAATGCAAAAATACAATGTATGAAGTGCACTTGTATTGGAAATCTCAACACTGATATCAAAAGAGCCCCATCAAAACATGCAGTAGTAGTAACTTTGTGTGTTCTCCACAGGGTGGCGATGAAGAGCACAGAGCTGCTATATCTGTACGGAGAGCTGGACCCACGGGTGCGTCACCTGGTGTTCACCGTGCGCTGTTGGGCTCGAGCTCACAGCATCACCAGCAGCATCCCCGGGGCCTGGATCTCCAACTTCTCCCTCACCGTCATGGTGCTGTTCTTCCTGCAGAGGAGGAGCCCCCCTATCATCCCAACCCTGGACCACCTCAGGGACCTTGCAGGTACCACCAAGCACTTCTTCTCACTTAGTAAACATCATGTCAGTTTAAAGCAGAGGTTTCCTTTGTTTGTTATCAATGTTTTGGTGCCCATTCTATCCACAATTTATGAAAAAATTACATGAAAGCCTGACAAAGAAACTTAAGTGAAATCTCTTCTTCTCAACTAAGTCCACACCTTAATGTTGTGGTTTTTTTTTTTCATACATTTAACTTATTTTATTTTTTTCTTCGAAGAATAACTCAACCACTAAGTATACTCAAGTAAGGTGAGCTTTCATCAGACAGTGCAGCTGCGGTCTAAAGGTATTTTAACTTGCGAGCCCTAAAAATGAAGCCACTTAGGACTTTCTCACATTTGTGTTTACCAGTGACGTTCTTCCCTCTTTTTCAAGATAAAGTAATCTAATAATTCAAAGAAAACAAAACATTAAGGAAATTATAAAGGTATAAGATGATGTAGCATAAATGATTCTTTCCTATCCTGTGAACAGGTCAGTAACCCCACTGATCTGTAGAGTATCTTAGCTCTGACGTAAGATTAGACAAGATAAGATATAGACCTTAATTGACCCCCGTAGTGAAATTCAGGTGTTATAGCAGCAACAGAATAAGAGAGAAACACAGGAGATAAGAGTTCAAACAAGAATTAGGAGAATATAAAATAATGGTAAACATGTACAGTATGTTACAGTATCAATAAGAATAGTATACAGTGTGCGAAAAAGTACACGTCCCACCGTCCGGGACGTGTTATTTACAATATCGGACAAGTAGATCTTTCAATTGACTTGTCCGGCGGACAAGTGACGTTTTTCGCCCTGATTTATTGACAAATTATTGATAAATTCTGTTTACAAAAGGCAGAACTCATTCGCAAATTGTACGTGTCCGCCATTGTTCGTTTAGAAATGTTGGTTTCGGTTCTGCTTGTCGATTCCTAAGGAAATGCATCTCGCCGCTTTCTGTACAGTTAGACGGGGGCGGGGCGGGAAGTGTAGCACAGTGGCAGGGTTGGGAAGCAAAACTCGGTTCTGAGGAGGAACAAATAACAATTGTCCGGTCCCGGGATTGATAAGAGTTGTGAGGACAGGAGGCGAGGCCGTGCCCCGCGGACTGCAGCGCTCTCTCTCTATGCTCCGTATCAGCTGATCGCTGCACGGTGCAGCTCAGCGTCTCTCTCTCTCTTTCTACGCACAGCGGATCCGCTGCCCGTTTAACAGCCTCATCTTTGTCAAACTTTCTTATGTTCTTTCTCTAACATGTAATGAAGGTTATTAAGCGTTTTAGCTCCTGTGTTGTTAATATTGACCGCCATTTCCTTTATGAAGTGAAGCAGCCTCCCTGTGTCCTCGCGCGGTCCTCACATCCCCGGACCCCCAGACTCGGAGGAGCAGAGGGATGTCAGTATTGTTTATGAAGCAGGGTATAGAAAGTACATTATTGAAATGAAAATACTATTTATTTACTTTTACAAACAGTGAGCAGCTGGGCAGCTGCAGCATGGGTATTGCAGGAGATGTGTAAGCGTGCAAGCGTCTTTGAGTTGTAGAAAAGCGCTAGGCCTATAGGCTATAAATATTATTGTTATTATTAGGCCTATGTGTTGGACATGTGTGGTAGGACTCTGTCTCACAGGAAGGTTGCAGCATGTGTGTTGCAGGACATGTGTTGGACACACAGACTGTGTGGTTGGACTCTGTCTCACAGGCAGGTTGCAGTGTAACATCAGAGGAGACTGGTCCAATTGTACATTCTCAAACTGCACCACTTAGAACTAACTAAACAATGCAGAGATTATTTTTATATAATTGTATTCAATAACCGTGAGAAATTAAACAGTATGAGGTGTTTTTTAAATAGGAATACAGATTTGACTTAATGTTTTCATAAATATATTTTTCTCCCAGTTTGTCATGGGACTTATTTTTACCCTCTCAAAGAACCGGAATCGAAAAGCAGAACCGGAATCGTTAAAATCCAAACGATACCCAACCCTATGTGTGATGCAGTAAAATCTTACCGCTCATTTACGTTAGCGGTGTCGTAAAAACCGTGGGAAAATGTCAAATACGATGGCGAAGAAGAAGATTCCAGTGGCCCCAATTTGTGTCCATTCTGGACAAGTGAAAAATGTATTCGGACAAGTAAATTGCCAAACTCACTTGTCCATGGACAAGTACTCTCTAAAAACGTTTTCTCACACTGCAGACCCACCGTTCACGCACACACTGACCTCCTTCTCCCCTCTCTCTCCAAGTGAGGTTCTTACCCTCATTACCTCTGCCCGCCCTACCACCTGTCCTCTGGACCCTATCCCCTCAAACCTCCTTCAGACTATCGCTCCTGATATTCTACAGTTTCTCACCCATTTCATCTCACCCATTCATCAAGACTTCTACCTAACTTCCTGTCACTTTTCCAAACATTTTTCGAAGGAGGCTAAGAGTACGCCTCTCTCCTAAAGAAACCCACTTCTCATGACCTGCATCTGATTGTTATTAAACCTTCGCCAAGGCTGGTCCTCTCCCATACCCGATTGCCTGGTAATCATCAGTCCCTCTTAACACGCGTTGGAACGCGAAACTGCCATAACCTTTAACACATGACCTCTCCTGGTTATCTCGTCAGCCACAAGAACACTTACTGGATACCGCCGACCAGTCCTGGTTTTCAAGGCAGGGTCCCACTCCAACAGGAACTAACGTGCCCTCTTGCCTGTCCACTGAGGAAAGCTAGCATCAGCTGGCTTAAAGCCGCATACCCTCTCTCTACTGTCCATCATTCCGTTTGGACCTGTACCTGCTGCACTTTCGAACCACGTGTGGAAACATTTCAGGATGCGGTCGCTGGGTCGCTACTTCTCACAAAAAACTTGGAGTTCAGGTTCGGGTCTGCACGGACGTGGGCGTTGCAGCCTCCTCACGACTGCAATGTACCTCAAAGAACCGTTTAACCTTACAGGGTTCTGTGGAGGAGGTTCGAGTCGGACCGCTTTTTCAATTTTAACTCACCGGGGTGTTCGCTTCGAGGTCTTTTGTTTGTTGGTTCGTGCTGCCTTTCCGTTTCCGGGAAAAGGATTGGTCCCCACTCTTGAGGCCTTGGAACGAAGGGGAACATCGCGGCCGCTTGTGTTGCGGCGCCGTGGAGACTCAACCTGCAGCGGAGGGAAATTGGGTTTGTTGATTGCCTAGATTTAAAATACCCTGTCCTTCACTGCCAAAAACATCGCTGATTACAACCCGGGCTGCGGGGTGCAGATAACGACTCTTTAGCAACGAATCCAGGGGAGATACGTCCAGCTGACCCAGGAAAACAACCGAGGTTCTGGGGTCCCAGGGGGGGCTCTCCTCATTTTTCCTCCAACGCCCGTGAGCTCATGGGCACGAGCTCCCTTCCCTGGCTGGTCGTTGACCTGCATGGTGCCATTCCCAGGACCGTTGCAGGCTCAGGTCAAGATTTTGCAGGCGGCTGTCGGTCTGGTCTTCAACCGCCTTTCAAGGATTGTTCCGCGGACACCACGGCGTGGGCCGCGCCCTGCGCTCCCGCGGCGGAGGCGTCCGCAAAGGAGAGACCGGGGCGGTGGTCAGGAGATCCACTTCAAAACACGGTTGGGTTACTTGGGGGGAACCTTTTGTTTTACCATGCCGTGCGGGTGGGGATTGCGGCGCCTTTCGCGTCAGGGAGATTGGCAGGTGACAGCCGATGGCCGGGTGGTAAAACCGTCGACCCAGGCCACGTGGCACCTCCCGCGTCGTGCTCGGACCCACGACAGCTCGCTTCCGACCCCGCACTGGCGAACGGGACCAAGTCTCCCAGTCAGCAAAAACAGGGTGGGTTTGGGCTATTCCCGGGCTTCCAAGCGAATCGGTGGAAAGGTTTTGCTCCCCCCATTTCAGATCCAGGACAGGCAGGATGTAGCTTGCCGATCTTTTTTTGGCGCAGGACTGAAACGAATGACCATGCTCTTTCGGGACTTTCGCACTTTCCGAGGCGATTTTAGAATTAAGGGCTAAAACAAAAGAGAGTTACTCGTTACAGTAGCCACTTTATACTTAAATAGGGGAAAACTTTGGGCTGTGATCTGAAAAAACCAGTTTAGTACCACTGGAATGTTCTCCTTGGGCTCTATTGGCAAGCCTAGGTGTGACTTTGATGATTTGCTTGTTTCTTCAGGGTTGGGTATCTGCGCGCTGGGTTCGAATTTACTTATGGAGAGGTCGGCTTTGGATTAAAAGGCGGTCAGCTAAATGCCAATGTTTGTAATTGTAATGTAATGTAATCGAGTAGTTCCCCAGTTTTTCTGGCTCTCACTCTATGGGGGGGGTCCCAGCCTGTCTGGCATTACCTTGGGACACCTTAAAACAAATCATATTATATATTATATGTAAATACCATGTGTACGAAAAACAACTATACACTTGATTCTCTGTTCTGTTTGAACATCTTGATTGTGTATTGGTTTCCGAGTCAGGGTCCTTTCTCCTTTTTAGTTTTTACCGTTAACTTTTTGGGAAGTTGTTTTACCAATGATGGTACTCGTTTTGATTGGGATAGCCCAATTTGGTAATGCAATGTTAATTAAAAAAGACAGACAGGTTTGGGTTCCTGTCATGCTCAGGCATGACGCGTGTGTGACGTCGGTAACGTGTTGGCTCCAATAATGAACTCCAGCCTGCAAATGAATACCGTAATCAAACATAAGATACAGGTAACCCCAAGGGGAAGTATGGTTGTGACCGGCCCCCAATAGCCAAAAAAAGTAAAACGAAAGGTGAAACAAATAAAGGCAAATAAGTAAGCCAAGCCGGACCGCCAGGGAAATGAATGAGTTTAAAACTAGAGGTATACCCAGCGACGAAGACGCCAGAGAGGATTGGTTCGGGCCGGAACAAATGAAGGAAAAAACTCAGGTCCATACTTGAAGAAACTTGTGAGCACACGCAGCAACCACTCTAGTGTAATCATTGGCGCGGGGCATTAATAATTCACCGCCCTAGAAAAAATGGGAAACAGAGAGGATGTAGCGTATTGATCCATATCCTGGAAGGAGTCATGAATGAGGTTGTGACAAACGGGATGAAGGTACGGTCGTCTATGAATCTAGATGGCTCCGATTGAGAGAACATATTGGTCAGATATTGGTAAGACAGATGCCCGCTACTAGCAGACATTAGTGAGGCTTAAGTTCGTTTAACCAAGTGATGTACTTGTACTAGAGATTGTGACCTTGAAATGTATGAGTAGAATGGCGAATTGCCACAGGGGATGAATAATGAGACATCGAACAGCCGTCTCGCTAGAACGCCCCCTAGGTGTCTCGCAAACACGGGTGAAGACAGATTCCGAGATAAAATAGAGGGTAAGTGCTTCGATTATAATGCCAAAACTGGAAAAGATGATGAACACGCGCCACTCACACATAATCGTGATAGGGACATATAAAGCTCATTATACTTTCCAAAGCAACCATCCAAATATGTCAGCGAAATTTGATGATCGTGACAGAGCACTGAAAATGAATGGTGAAAAATATATACGTAGTGGATGCATATACAATGGATTCATAAGCGTTTCTTTTTGGATAAGAACCATAACGTCGGCCCAGGTCTGTTTGAGAGGGATTAACCACCGGTAGTGAGTGTAGATGCTTTGAGAGATCAGGGTTAGCTTCTAGGCCTCATGTTCTTCATGATGAGCTCATAATACTGTTACTCTATGAAATTAACTTGGAGGCCAGATTAGCATCGGTTGGAGTACCGATTGTAGGCTACCTTCTCGCTTCACCGCTAACCCGAGCCTCAGGTAACGATGTATGTACAGACCCTGCTGAATAGGATCAAGAGAACACTACTAAAGCACTCGAAATTGTAAAGACTAACAGCCAAAAGCCGCTATCATGCACCCGTTGTTTCAACGCAGAGGCGAGTCAACCAATAGGTCCGGTAAACAAACAA